TGTGTGTGTGTGTGTGTGTGTGTGTGTGTGTGTGTGTGTGTATTGATAGCTACAAATTAAAGATTATAAGTATATATAACTTTATCATATGGGGAAAATTTACTTATCTTAGAAAAATTACTTATCTTAGAAAAATCTTGCATTTAAATGTTATGTAACATGGCTAAAAAATAAGGTATTGGAATAAAAAAAATACATTTTATAGAGAGTGAACAGTCAACTTTGGATCAGAATTTCAAGATAACTTTAATTTAAAAAGAAATATTAAATGCTGTAAAAAGTCATTTTTTGTACATATTTCTACATTCAAAATTTTAGGATCACATTCAAAAATTTAGGAAACTTTGATTTAATGTAATTTTTTCTTGTAAATAAATACTATTTTAAATTTATTATGTAGACTTGAACTTTTATTGTATAATCATTTGGACTTTTTATAATCATATTCTACAATATCTGGTCTTTTTCTGGAAAAAAAATATAATGAAAAATTTGCATTTGTGTTAGAATTATACACAATATTCAAATGAATTTGAGAAAATTAGTGTATAGACTGTATATATGAAAATGTAATGTGCATTTTTAGGCCTATCTAATTAATAATGAAAATTGTTGCAGGTTGATTTAGAACCTCAGGGAAGATTACGACTAATAATAGCAATGTGGAATGCGCCAAGTAAGAAAAATCTCAATGTTTTATAAGTATACATGATTTAATTAACGTGATTTAATATTTTAGTTCGGCAACCAAGTTTTCATGGGGAGTCTAGTGGTGAAGCACGTAAGGCACGTAATAAAGGCAAGAAAGATCGGCATGAAAGAGAATTTCAAGAGAAAGAAGAGCCCTTGAGTCGCCAGAGAGTGATGCGACGAAGGGTTCATCAAATAAATGGACATAAATTTATGGCTACCTTTCTGAAACAACCGACGTTTTGTTCGCACTGTCGTGACTTCATTTGGTATGTATGCCTGTAGAAAAACATCGCTTCTGTTATTTAAGATTCTATATACAATACTTCTTGATCGCTATCTTTGATAGCAGAGTGCGTGCTATCTCAAAATAGGAAAATGGGAGCATGCTTAAACTGTATATTTCACCCGTAATTACATTTACAAACACATCAAAATTTAGTTAATAGTACATCTCGAATTAATCAATTAAAAAATTTGCAAAATGCAGGATTGCATGCATTGGGTATTTGGTCTTTTCTCATTATCTGTATTAGTAATGTCAAGGAAAGGTATTTATTAGCTAGTATGTAATTAATATTGGTTTGCATTGGAGATTGGATTATTATAAATAATTATTTTAACTCGAGAGACTCAAGTACAGATTAGAATAAGCAAGCTTGGTATTGCTACCAGGGTACATTCTCTACAAACACTATTTGGGATTTTTTCTGTTTTAAACAGGGTTACATGTTGGGTTTTATAAAAATACATGCCTTATATAATTTGCTGAATCCATTTCAAAATATTTAGGTGTTGGAACATTTGCACAACATACTGTTCTAATTAGCAATATTTTTAAATAAACAAATACTTTGTAAAATAAAAGTTTAAATATTGACTAGGATCTATGAAGTGATTTGATCAATCTTTCTCATCACACAAGTCATTAATCATATCAAAATCAAGGAGTAGTATAGATGATGACTAAGCATGGTTGAAGAAAGCAAACGTATGTGTCTTAGGAAGGATTATGAGGATGTGACGTGTTTTGTCTATTATATTTCAGGGGCTTTGGCAAGCAAGGCTATCAGTGTCAAGGTGAGAAGACACATACACTGTTATTAACAGATTATAGTTATGTATCCGCTTGCCGCACCCTTACGTATGAATGTGTGCAGTTATGAATGTGTATGTGCGAGTTTTAACGACGAGAAAAATCACGATTAAGACTCTTATTTCATCGATTTAACGTTTTACGTCTTTAATGCTTCATTCCTAACTACCATAACGTCCTATAATTGTCGCGTCAATTTATGCATTTTCTATTCACCACGACTAGTACACATGACCGCCTTGGTATTAATCTGCTTCATGATTAAATATTTTATTACTTAACTTATTGCTATATTAGTTAGTAACGTAAGGATTTTGATTCTTAATGTATTAGCTAGGTCTCTGTCTATCCTGATTTTATTTCGTTTCGATACAATTTAGATTTGTAGCTAAATAGTTTTTCAGTTTATTACATGTTATCCTTCAATACAAATTCCAAATATGCTATCTTAGAGCTTGATAATATTTTTAGTATCGAAACTACTGCTGATGTTGAGAATAATATTAAGTGAATTTCAATTTTATTTCTGCTTATGGTATTATTGTAAATAATTTCCGGATGCGTCTTATCACGCATGCAGCTAGCTTTGGACGTGCTGTTACATCTTGGAAGCGAGCATTTTTATAAGGGGATACTTTATGTATTGCTGTTTCAGTATGCACTTGCGTAGTCCACAAAAGATGTCATAACTTGGTGATAACGAATTGTTCAGGAATGAAAGAAGAGGTATGTTTATTAGTTATTTCTATAGTGACGTAACATAATAGAAACATCACAAGTAACTTACGTTTTGCATTATTAATTGACATTATTACCGACGAGATATTATTAAAATTAACTCTGGACAAATTTTTGAAAAAATTATCAAAGAGGTCTCAGGGAATACTCGGCAATAATGGGACTATTCCAAGGATATATTAATAAGGATTTTGCCTTCCTTAATCACCGTTTTATCAGAATCTTATTTGTGCATTTCTTATGATTAAACAGTGATTAAATAAAGTTGTGATTAAATGATTCAATCAGAAATTGTGTATTTGCGCGAAAAATATAATAATTTATATCTATGTGTATATACACACACAAAAATTTCTCTATATTATCAAAATCTTGATTTTATTTTACTAAGTTTTATCATTTTATTATTACTTTCTAAGATTTTAAAAATTTTTTCAATCAGATTATTGTAGTCGAAGGAGAGGAAGGGACTCAAATCACGCAGGCAACAGCACGCTTCAATATACACGTTCCCCATCGGTTTAATCCTCATAATTATAAAACATTGACATTTTGTGACCACTGCGGATCTTTATTGTACGGCTTCTTCAGACAAGGCTTGAAATGCGATGGTAATGTAATATTGTTTATATTGTTTTCTATAAAAATTTTTATTAAGTCAATTTATTAAATTGCGTTGTATTTTTCCTATAGTTTGCAACATGAATGTTCATAAACGATGTTATAAGAACGTTGCACCCAGTTGTGGTATAGATACCAAGGCTTTGAGTGAAATTTTGAAAAAAATAAATTTCTGTGCAAATAAGCAATTAAGACTTCCGAAGATTAGAGTATCTTCACGGCCACAAACACCTACAGTTGCAGAAAAGGATGAAGATAAGAAAGATCAAGATGATAAAAAATTTAAAAAAGATAAAAAGGGAATGAAAAAAGGACAGAAAAAAGGACAAAAAGACAAAACGATAAAAATATCTTCAAGGGATGATCAGACAGACGAATTGGGCGCAAGTTGTTCGAGTCAAAACGACTCAACCAAAGATGATTCGCAATTGAGTCAAAGAGATTCCACTAATTCCAAAGATGATTCGCAGTGGAGTCATAGAGACTCATCTTACGCCAAAGATGGTTCACAGTTAAGTTTAAGAGACTCATCTAACGAAGATGACGATAGAAACAGCAATGTAAAAAAAATTGGTTTAGATGACTTTAATTTTATTAAGGTTCTCGGTAAAGGTAGTTTCGGTAAAGTAATGTTAGTCGAACTGAAAAGTAATCCCGAAGAGATTTACGCCGTGAAAATCTTGAAAAAAAGTGTTATTATTCAAGATGAAGATGTAGACTGCACCATGACAGAAAAGAAGATTTTAATCCTCGCAGCAAAACATCCTTTCCTAACGGCTATCCACAGTTGTTTCCAAACGGTTGATCGACTCTTCTTTGTTATGGAATATGTGAAAGGAGGTATAAATTCCCATTTTAGAATAAAATGTGAAAGGTACCTTCTATTTTGAATACTCCTATTATCTCTTGATTTATTTCAGGCGATCTGATGTTCCATATCCAGAAGGCTCGAAAATTTGAAGAGCCGAGGGCACGTTTCTATGCAGCAGAAGTGACACTCGCGCTTCAGTTTCTGCATAAACATCATATTATATACCGCGACCTGAAACTGGACAACATACTGCTGGATGCGGAAGGACATTGTAAACTTGCGGACTTCGGAATGTGTAAAGAGAATATAATTGAGGGAGAATCGACGGCATCGACATTTTGTGGTACGCCTGACTATATAGCTCCGGAAATACTTCAAGAATTGCCGTATGGTGCTAGTGTTGATTGGTGGGCTCTCGGTGTGTTGTTATACGAAATGGTGGCTGGACAACCACCTTTCGAGGCCGAGACCGAAGACGATTTATTCGAAGCAATATTGCGAGATGACTTAGTGTTTCCAGTGTGGGTTTCTTCAGATGCAGTGTCTGTTGTAAAAGCTTTTATGACCAAGAATCCTGCCAAGCGATTAGGTTGTGTTGCAGCCGACGGTGGCGAAAATGCTATAAGGGTCCAGCCATTTTTCAAACATCTAGATTGGGAAGCTCTCGAAGCGCGTAAAGTAGAACCTCCAATCAGACCTAAAATTGTGAGTCTCGCGTTTTGTTATTTTAATTAATAAATACTAAATAACACAGGATTGTATTACATAATTGCTCCTCGAAATTTTTAGAAAAATGAAAAAGAAGCGATTAATTTTGATGCCGTGTTCACAAAAGAGGATCCTGTATTAACGCCGGATAGTCCAGACAAATCGTGCGACATCGATCAAGAAGAGTTTCGTGGATTCTCCGTAGTAAATAGAGACTTCAATCCATTCAGGTATACTACGCAGTAAGAGATGACAAGTTTCAATGTAATATCATCCTTCGATTTTATTGTAATTCGGTTTTATTGTAATATCATCCTTCTCGCTTAACGCGTTGCTTTGTACAGTACATTTGTTATCTTGTTAAGCATGAAAAACGGTTTTGAGACTGCTCGAGATTTCTGAGCTACGTCCGATGGAAATGATTCCATCTGTCGCAAAAGGAAGCTTTTTGACCAATCAAAACACATTGATGGCATGATCAGAAATATTAATAAGAATTCGAAATTATTAAAAAAACTTTATTCAATTTCAGATCAAATAGAATACGGTACATATAAATCAGGCGATGTCATAAAAAGGACTTTTTTCTTGATTTATAATGTTTGCTTGAATAGAATTCATTAATAATTTTCAATCAAAATAGATAAAGGCATATAATTTGCCAATAACTATCCCCGCTCTTTC